AACGGATTCAACATGGCGTACGAGACGATGAAGGGTGAAATAAACCTACTAGTAAACACTATTAGGACCACCTAAGGGACAAAATTCTACATGATCGAGGGGGATATGAGGTACAAAGCCTTGTTCGGAAGGCCATGGGTTCACAGCATGAGGGCGGTGCCTTCAACCCTACATCAGGCATTGTAATTTCCCACTCCGGGACAAATCAAAATGGTCTATGGAGAACAACTAGCCGCAAAAGAGATATTCCCGACCGCAAGACGATCTCGATATCAAAAAATAGGGGACTGGTCGAAGAGAAGGAAACCAAATAGCAATCAACGATCCCGACCTCAATCGGGCCAAAAGAATAGGAGGAGCAGATAAAAAAGGAGGAGGTGATTACGATGTCTCGAGATCCTTTGTAGCACCCGATGACACCGGTGCCACTAAATCGATAATCGAGGAATTGGAGCAGGTCATAGTGATCGAGTACCTACCGGATCGAAAAGTATACCTAGGCACGTGATGAGCTTAAAATTACTCAGCATTTATGCATGCTTTGTATCCTTGATTTGGTTGTTTTGATCCGATTATGGTCTAATATGTTGCCTTTCAGTGCAGGTGGTGCAGAGGGGATCAATGAACATATAGTGCATTAAGTGGGAGGAAAACAAGCTGTGCAAGAAGAAATTCTCATGAGCGGCCGCGCACGAGCAACCACAAACACGCACTTGCGCACGCAAGTGTCACAGAAACACTACCAGATGTGCGCGATCATGTGCATAGTCATACTCCCAGGTGCATGACCGCGCACGTCCGTCTCCGGGAATTCTAGTCAAGCTTATTTTTGTTAATTTGGAGGCACCCTTTTGACCTATATGAAGCCTAGCTCGTCCCAAGACAGGGTATCTCGGATTTGGAGCAACTTTTGGAGAAAAGAAGGCAAGGAAACAACATAGGCTTTGAATACTTCATCCGATTAATTCAATACGAAAGTTTGATTGAATTCGTGGGTTATAATGTTTTCTTGTCCTCTTAATACTCTTTTGATGAACAATTTCTCCACTCTGGAGTAGTCTTTCTTAAGGTTATTGACATATGTTGTGAATTGATTATTATTCGAGGGTTTTCTTTATGTTAGCTGCTTGAATTTGTTGAACGAGTTTTGAATTAAATTACAAAGTTATTTGGGTTTCACTTTAATCGGAAGAGAGGTGTTTTGCAATTATCATTGTATTATCTTATTTGTGTAAATTTCATGACTCTCGTAGGTAATCGAAAGAGCTTACAGAGTTATCAATTGATCCAATTTAGAGGAATAGTAGAGAGACTTTCTTCGTAAAAACATTCATTCAGCATATTCTTGCATACGTTCATAGCACTTATCATTAGGTTTTTTAACGGAACTCTCCTTCATTTGAAAGAAGAATTTGAATCCTTAATATAGCTTAATTATCTGTTGAAATCAAAAGAGTCAATAGAATTTAAGAGTGAACTAGCCTAGAGTTATCCCGAATAATAGTTGATCACATATTTTTTTAAGCCCTTATTGCTCATATTGATATTCAATCGTTGCTACTTAGTAACTCAATTTCCATTATTCATTCACAATTGAGATCTTAGTTTTTACTCTTACTTAATTTATAACTCAAAATCAAAGGTTTCTTTTCCTGAATACTGTTAAGCTGAAGATTACTTTGAGCATTATTTGACCCAATCCCTATGGAGACGATTTAATACTATACTATCTTTGACTAGCGAGCCTATATTTTATACACCGATTTTGCGTTCATCAAATTTTGGCGCTGTTGCCGGGGTTGACGATTAATAGTGTTTAAAACAATTTTTAGTGCTAATTTAGGAATAATTTTATTTTATTTTGTTTTTACGCTCTTCTTATCGGTGTGAAGGCAACATGTTAAGTTCAGTGGTGTATGACTTAATCCTCCTCCAAGGAATTGGTGCCATACAATCCAAAATTAGACAAGCACCTGCGACAGTTGAGAAGGGATAAAGAATCGAGTGGATCCTTTTTGGGTCAGATTTCGACTAAAAATACAATGCTGAACAACGAAAAGGAAGTGAACATAGTTGTAAAAGAGGCAACTCAACAATAGGCAACACGATTAGCAGCTGAAACAGACCTTAGAGTTGCTGAGGAAACGGTTAAAGGGGTCGAAGATTCAATATTAACGGACCCCTGGTTGAAGATGAGTTTGAAAATGCAGCTCCCAGGCTTTGGAGGTCTTTAGGAGATTATGCCAGACCGGTCTACAATCAGCGACAATTCAGTGTGAGGCCCCCACCCATTGATGCTAACAATTTTGAACTCAAGCAAGGAGTCATCCAGACCATTCAGAACAACTGCATCTTTAGAGGCAAACCCAATGAAGATCCCAACAACTATCTGATGGACTTCGATGAAATAGTGAACACATTCCGCTATAATGGAGCATCACATGATGCCATCTACCTTAGAGAATTCCCTTTCTTACTTAAGGATGATGCAAAGCAGTGGTTAAGGAGTTTGCCCACAGGGTCAATCCGTACGTGGGAGGAGATGACTACCTAGTTTTTAGAAAAATTATTTCTCTGCTGCTAAGACTGGAAGGATGAGGAAGGAGATTCACAATTTCATCCAAGGAGAAGGGGAGACAATGTTCGAGGCATGGGAAAGGTTTAAGGAGTTGTTGTGGAGGTGCCCTCATAACGGAATAGAGCAATGGATGCAACTCCAGGATTTCTAGGATGGTTTAACTCCTTCATCAAGGATATTGCTGAATAGTGCGGTTGCAGGCCCTCTGATGAAGAAAACTCCAGAAGAGATTGTCACACTCCTGAATGAACTATCTGAAGACGAAGAACAATGGTCTACTTACCAAGGTGATTGATGGTAGGCTAGAATCACGTATTTTAATCATAGTTTGCACTCTAATCACTGCATTTTACTTGTGGTTAAGCCTAAATAATGGTGATTTGTGCTTATTACGTGTTTATGACTTGTGGGTAATGATTACGAGTTATTGAGATAATTTAGAGCTGCTTTGAACAAGTTTGAGCTTTAAAGTCTGAGTAAAAGCCCAAAAAATTAAGTCGGGATCATGTTCGGGGGACAAGGAGCAAGTCTGGATGTCAAAAAATGAGATAACAAAATTACTCTGAGAAAATTGCACTACCGCGCCACACCATGCGTAGTGGGGCGCGAGGCGGTAGTGCAAAATTCCTGCAGAGTGAAAAAAATAGGCTTCTGAACTTTCCCACTAATGCGGCGCATGGTGTGCCGCCCGGTGTGCCGCAGTAATGTATTTGCTCGTCCAACTATTCCAACTTCAGCTTGGAAATGATAGTTTCGTCCGAACCCGTTTCTACGTGGTATAAACACATCAAAAACATGAATTTTAGAGGACTTTTGACCTTGGAAGCTTTGGGAGAGCATTTGATCCTACAAGACTCAGGCTGTCATCATCTTTCCATCAGTTCAATACGAAAATTTGGATTGTAATGTTAGATTGATGCTTTCTTATTCTTTAATTATATTTGTGATGACTTCCTACATGATTATGGAGTAATTTCCCTTTGGGTTTGACGGATATAGTTTTTTGATAAATATTTGTGGATTTTAATTCTAGTTCTTGAATTCGTTTATGGAGTTTTGAATTATTGCAAGTTTATTCATCGGATTACTTAATCGAAAGAGGAATATTTTGGTGATTATCTCTGTATTATTTTGTTTGATTTAACTCATTGATTCTCTTAAGTAATCGAAAGAGCTTGTTGAGTTGTTGATTAAATCAAGGTAGGAGAATATTCGAGAGATGTTTTCCTAATGACTAATCCATTAACGCATGCTTGCATACTTTCACAGTGCGTATATTAGTTCACCTCGTAGAGTTAAGATTTAATCGAGAGATGAGTCTTGACAACACGTTTGAACTAATCATCGAGTGCATTCGTGAGAATCATTAGAACATTAGAGTGAATTAAACTAGAGTTAAATCCGAAATAGCTATCTTGCACCTATCCTGTCAAACTCTTATTCTTCACATTGATAAGAAACCAACTTTGCGAATATCTAGTTCCTTGCTGTCAATTGTCAATTACTTTATTTTAGTAGTTAAATGTAGTTCATAATCATTTAACTCAAGTGTTAATCCTCCTGAATATCAATTAAATCAGAAATTACTCAACATTGTTTATATTTAATCCCCCTGGAAACAATGTTTTACTATATTATCTTTGATTACGAGCATCAATTTTCTGTTGTATTTTGTGCTCGTCAAATCGGCGCCGTTGCTGGGGAGTTGCAATCAATAGTGTTCAAAATAACTTTTGGTGCTAATTCAGGAATTTATTTTTATTTTGTTCTTCACAGGTTTCTCTTCTGTGTACAGGAAACAAGTTAAGTTCGTGGTGTATGACTCGATCTTATTCAAAAGAAGTAGTACCCTACGAACCAGAGTTGGAAAAGCACTTGCGACAACTGGGGAAAGAGAAAGAGCTCACCAGGAAGTTCTTGGGGAAACCTTCAACCCAAGAAAACATGGCTAATAATGGTGTTGATGAAGTAAATTTAGCTGCAAGAGAGGCAGCACAACATAGAAAAGAAGATGCAAGGATAGCAGCTGAGGCAACCCATAGAGTTGCTGAGGAGATCGTCGAAAATGATAGGGGTCAAAGATTCAATCTAAATCGGCCCTTGATTGAAGATAAATTTGAGAATGCGGTGCCTAGGCCTGGTAGAGCATGCCAGACCAGTCTACAATCAGGGACTGTCTAATGTCAGACCCCCACCAGTAGCAGCAAATAATTTTGAGTTGAAGCAAGTCTTGCTTCAAACTATCCAGAACAACTGTGTCTTTAGAGAGAAGGTGAAGGAAGATCCTAGTGCTTACTTGATGGATTTTGAGGATATCATGAACACCTTTTAGTACAACAGAGTGTCGAAAGATGCAGTCCATCTAAGGGCATTCCCCTTTTCACTGAAGGATGACACGAAGCATTAGCTTCGCAGCTTACCAATGGGGTCGATCAGGACATGGGAAGATCTGACTAAAAAGTTTCTTGACAAATACTTCTCAGGTGCAAAAATAGTGAAATTCAGAAGGGAAATTCACAACTTCTGCTAGACGGACATTGAAACAGTTTTCGAGGCTTGGGAAAGATTCAAGGAGATAGTGAGGAAGTGTCAGCATAATGGGATTGAATTGTGGATGCAACTCCAGGACTTTTGCGATGGACTGACACCTCCCTCACGACAAACTTTGAACATTGCAGTCGGAGGTCCTTTAATGAAGAAGACTCCTGAGGATATTGTGGCAATTCTGGATGAGCTCTCTGAAGATGCTAACCAGTGGCCTGCTGAGAGTAATGATAGAAGAAAATTAGTTGGAGTTCATCAAGTCGAATATAACACAGCAATGCAAGCCCAACTAGACGCCATGGCTAAAGAGATAAGAAAGTTGACCTTAGACAAGGTCCAGAGCCAACCATCACCAGTTTGTGATTTCTGTGGAATGGTTCATTCAACGCATGAGTGTCAGGCCTTAGCTGCAGATGAGGTGGTAAATACCGTGGAAAGCTTTGACAGAGGCAACTACCAGATGGGTAATAATTTTAATTCTACGGGACAGAGGCACTTGGGCTTTTCTTGGAATTCACCAAGTGGTAGCCTGAACTCATGGCGACGAAATAACTCTATACCCCAGGGACAAGGAGCTCCAGGTTTTCAAAATCAGCAGAAGCAGCAATATCAGCCTCCACAGTCTAATCAGTCTAGCATGGAAGATCTGATGAAGGCCTTTATTATTAAGACAAATAAGAGGCTTGACACCCATGACGCAGCTATCAAAGAACTGGGCACGACTTTTCAAAACTTGGAAATACAGGTTGGGAAACTAGCTAATCTATTGTCTGAGAGGGTTCTAGGAACTCTCTCTGCTGATAGTGAAAGAAATCCAAAAGAGACGATAAATGCAGTGTCTTTGAGGAGTGGGAATGTACTGGAGGATCCCAAGGCAAAACAAGCATGAGTTGATTGAGGGACAGGTAGAGATTGTGGAGGAGCAGAAAATAGCAACATTCAAGAAGGTGAAGTAATGGTACAAAATGGTCTGAAGAAGTAGGGGAAGACTAGAGCTCAGAAAAAGAGGAAAGATGATAATGCAACAAATAATGAGATTGCAGAGAGCAAATACATGCCCGCTCTACCTTTCCCCTAGAAGCAAAGAAGGGAAAAGTTAGACAAACAATTCGAGCGCTTTCTAGAAGTGTTCAAGCAGGTGCATGTGAATATAACTTTCGCAGAGGTGTTTTCTCAAATGCCAGCTTATGCTAAATTCATGAAGGAGTTATTGTCCAAGAAGTTGAAAGTGGAAGAGACATCGGTTGTCAAGCTGACAGAGCATTGTAGTGCCATTTTGCAAAATAAGCTCTCTAAAAAATGTGGAGATCCAGGGAGTTTACTATACCTTGCTCTTTAGGAAGTACTAAATTTAAAAAATCTTTGTGTGATTCAGGTGCTCCTATTAATCTTATGCCTTTCTCTATTTTCATGAATTTAGATGGAGAGATTGTAGAAATCAGGTTGATAACTACGTCCTTGCAGCTGGCCGATCAGACCACAATCATACCTGATGGAATAATAGAAGATGTGCTAGTTCGGGTTGACAAATTTGTGTTCCCTATAGACTTCATTGTGGTGAACATGGAGGAGAATAGGAAAGCACCTTTGATTTTAGGAAGACCCTTCATGGCTACGGGAAGAACAATTCCGGATATCCAGGAAAGGCAACTCATGCTCAGAGTAGGGGGAGAAAGGCTGATTTTCAAAATGGAAGGAGAAAAGGGGGACATGAAGGAGAAAACTAGAAAGAGTGAAACAGAAAAGTGTGGGGTGTACCAAAAGAAGGCCGAAAAGAAGCTCTTAGCATGGATATGTGCACTGGGTCAGGAATGCAAAGGAGATCCCGACTTCGATTCAGACACCAATAGTTGAATCAGGGAAGTTCCCATACCTCTTGCTTTTTATTTGTGTGTCATGGTGACATGCCACAATTTAAAGTGTGGGTTGGGATATGTAAAGATGTATATGTATATGTATGTTTCGTTTCTTTTGATTAAAAAAAATTTGACTTTTCCCGACGATGGATTTCCTCGACTGTCTTCTTGAGGGATCAAAGTCGAAGAAAACATTTTAAAAATATTTTGTTTTTCTTAGGTAGTGTGACAATTCCATCTTGGTTTTTCTTTGTGCCGCGGTTCTTTTCCAAGGGTTTTGCTTGAACTGAGTATAGTTAGTTTTTCTTTTAGTAGGAGTAGTGAAGTCTTGTGCTATGTATTAAATGGAGATGACTTTCCTTGACTTTGTTGTGCCTTGAGAGCAGTGAGTGCCTTATTTGTGATGCCTAGGCTAAGTTCTTGACTCTTAAATAAGTGCCTTAAATTATTTGAGTTTAAATTTGCTTAATTTCTTTGACTAGAGAGCCGGGATAGATCCGATCTTTAGTGAGTTATGTGCCAATGTGTGTGCGAGGTTATGTGATATTTTGTGCTTGTCGGTTGATGTCTAGAACTTTTCCTGTGCGTTTGCAAAGCGAAATAGTAGTTTTGTTCAGTCTAGGAAGTGATATATGCATTTCTTTGTTGAGCCACATATATGTTTTTTCCTACCTAATGGATGTGTATCTTAGTTAGCCCCTTTGAGCCTGTAATCCTATTTCTTTGGCAACCACACCACAAGCTTGACCCTTTGTTTGAATTGTCTACCTGTTTGATCCTTTTACCTCTTGTGAGCACTTGATTTTATTATGAGCTTGTAAAAGCTAAGTGAAGTATGGTTGGGGTTTTGAGTGGAACTATAGAAAAAGGAGAAAGATGCATTGTTTGAAAAGTTGTGAGAGCCACTTGTAGAAAAAGAGTTGTGTATGTATTATAAAATAAAAGAAGGATTCCTTGCTAGTGGTAGTTCTCATCTTTTTTGTGCTGGACTTAAAATCGGAGGTCGTTTCAAAGGCTCATGGAACGCACTCCCCAACGCGAGGGGGCATTGTTGCTTTGCCCTTAGATGAGCGCAAGGAATAGGAAGGCACATCTTCCTGAGGCACAGAGGTGGAAGTTTTCGCCATTCTTGTTAAAAGATTTCAGAGGAGAAATGAAAATTGCATTTCGGAGGAGAACACAAGAGAGGAGTAAGAAGAACTCTTTTGAAGGCTTGATGGTGCAGTGGAAAATAAGGAGCGAAGGAAGAAGTATTTATAGAGGCCTAATGTACACGTTGGAGCGGACCAAGGGACAGCCAACCGCTGTAGTTAATTCAAAGGCTTTTAAGGGCTGTAAGGACGCGACCTTTAGACACCCTGCTTGTCGCGTCAATCGCTTGATAGGGCGAAACTAACATCGTGATGGAAATATCGAAGAGGCAAAAATTCAAGACCGTTTCTTATCATTTTACTCTAAGAAACGCGGGGACTATCTGTACACGGCTAAAATCGAAGAGCCCGATTTATGATCATTACGACATTGCGTGACTTCACCTGGAGGGCGCGAGGCAAAGTTAGAGGTTCAACCCTGAGGGTCCCTTAGCCCGACCTCGGGGCAGTGCAAATCGGTGGCTAGCCTAGGCAAGCGGGAGGTTCCCAAGGGACGTGATCAAAGCTGACAATACCTGCAAGATTAGAACTAGTCTGTACCAGGCCAGTAAATAGCTATACCAGCTATATTTCTTTGTAATAATTACGCATGTACCATGTTGGGATTTCCCCTCCTATATAAAGGGAACCCTTATCAATTTTGTAAGACATAGATTATTGAATACAAGAATAAGAACATTCTCTGCTCTCTAACTTAAACATATTCTCCCTTGATTTTATTGCTTATATTTATCACATTGCTTATGTTTACTGCGTTTCATTGATTGTTCTTCATTTATTACTCATCATTGATCATAAAGAGCCCCCATCAAAGCTCTTAGAACTGTTAGTCCTTCATCGGCTACCCACAACCTATCGTTTTAGCTCGACCTCGAGGCCCAGTACAGGCCGGCTCGAGGCCCCGATTCTCGACTACTTGGTTTGCATAACGTTCTATCTTCAAGCTCTTACCTTATTTTCTAGTCTCACACATAGCATCTATTGCCTAACAACTAGCATAAAATAAATCACGTATTTTTTAGAATCACACAATCAAATCTAATTGTAATTACCATTTTCAAGGTAAACAGTTTCATCGTTAGTCGCCGAGGGATTGAACTAGACCATTCAAAGGTCAAAGCTATCCAAGATTTGCCACCTCCCAAGAGCAAGAAAGATGTGATGTGATTCTTGGGGTGCCTCAATTACATCAGTCGCTTCATAGCACAATCGACCGTGATCTGTGAGCCAATTTTCAAAATGCTGAAGAAAGATGCTGCAACAAGTTGGACTAAAGAATGTCAAAAAGATTTTGACAACATCAAGGAGTACCTGTCCACACCACCAGTCCTGGTCCCGCCAGAACCTGGTTGACCTCTGCTATCTGTCCGTACTAGATTAAGCTTTCGGTTGTGTCTTGGGACAACATGACAAGACGGGAAGAAAAGAGCATGCCATATATTATTTGAGTAAGAAGTTCACACCCTATGAAGCACAGTATTCTTTGCTTGAATGCACCTGCTGCGCCCTGACGTGGATAGCTCAGAAATTGAGGCACTACTTCTGTGCCTATACCACATATCTCATATCAAGGATGGATCCTCTAAAATACATTTTCCAGAAACCTATGCCTACAGGGAAACTAGCAAAATGGCAGATATTGTTGAGTGAATTTGACATTGTCTATGAGACTCAGAAGACGGTCAAGGGATATGCATTAGCAGATCATCTTGCGGAAAATCCTGTAGGAGGAGAATACAAACCACTGAAAATGTATTTTCACGATGAAGAAGTATCATTTATAGGAGAAGATATCACCGAAACTTATGACGGTTGGAGAATGTTCTTCGACGGGGCTGCAAATTTCAAAAGGAGTGGGTATTGGAGTAGTTTTTGTATCAGAGATAGGTCAACATTATCCAGTATCCGTGAAGCTCATGTTTCCGTGCACCAACAATATGGCAGAAGCGGCTTGCATCATGGGGCTCAATTTGGCAATCGACATGAATATTCAAAAATTGCTGGTAATTGGTGATTCAGACCTTTTGGTACATCAGGTTCTAGGAGAGTGGGCTACCAAGAATACAAAAATATTGCCATATCTGTATCACGTACAAGAGTTGATGAAGAGGCTCACAAAGATAGAATTCAAACATGTTCCGAGAATCCAGAACGAGTTCGCAGACACTTTGGCTACTTTGTCTTCCATGATACAACATCCGGATAAGAATTTCATCGACCCTATTCCAGTAAGTATCCATAATCAACCAGCTTATTGCGCTCATGTTGAAAAGAAACGGATGGGAATCTGTGGTTCCATGATATCAAGGAATGCTTGGCAAAAAGAGAATACCCGGAGCATGCAAATCATACTCAGAAACGCACACTCCGAAGATTATCCAACCATTTCTTCCAAAGTGGAGTAATTCTGTACAGAAGGACTCCGGACCTAGGATTATTACGGTGCGTTGACGCCAAGGAAGCTTCCAAAGTGCTCGAAGAGATACATGCCGGAACTTGCGGACCACACATGAATAGTTTCGTTTTAGCCAAGAAGATATTAAGGGTAGGATACTTTTGGATGACTATGGAAACAGACTGTATTAGGTATGTCCAAAAGTATCACCAGTGTCAGGTACATGCAGATATGATACGAGTACCACCAAATGAACTCAATGCAATAAGTGCACCTTGAGGCTGCATCTTACAAGGCTGGAAAATGTATTTCACCCAATTGGCAAGGGCCCAACATGGTTCATCGAGTACTAGAAGGAGGAGCACTCATACTTGCAGAAATGGACGGAGAAATTTGGCCAAAGCCTATCAATTCAGACGCAGTCAAGAGATACTATGCTTAGATTATTTACATTTCTTCATTTGATGTAACTGAACTACACTTGACC